AATTACTACTCGATTCTTTCGTCTCGACATATCGCAGTAGGGTTTTACTTCTTCACCGCAGGGAAGGTCACTATCGCTATCTATCATTGGTGTGCAGCAATTTCGGCATCCCTTGGTAGGTGTACCGTTACAGTCCATGATGATTGCTAGTTCATCAAGATGCTCTTTCTTCCTTTCTATTGTTACGAGCTTGAGGTTCGTGACAATAAAAATTGCCGATAAAATTACCTAAATTAACACTTTAATTTACTTTACACAATTAAAGTTAAAACACTAATAATTTAAACACACTAATTCACTTAATTCCACTCCGAAGCTTCGCTTGTTTCGCCCAAATCAACACTGCCTCGATCGCATCTTGCAGCGCCTATATATTTAAATTAGCAAAGAAATATCCAGAATGTTCGAGTAAACACGGGCAAGGTACCGAGCGTTCGAGTTTCGACTAGGCGCTGTCAGTTGAGCGATTTGTGATGTCATTTTCTCAATGCTCCCCTCGCTCTCGTTCCTGACACTAGATGGCGCTAGTGTATCGTTGACTGGAGCGCGTAACACCGCCCCCTCCTAAGACATGCTCGTCCCGAGCATTATCGGCCCCATAATAACGCGCCAAGCGATTCACATGGACGATCTTAGGAGTCCCTCTTGCGCCTTTCTGTAACGGCTCCGCAATGTCAAGGGCTGTTCTATCCCGTGATGCACCAACATTGTACAATTTCGGTGCTCCTCTACTACGTGTCTGAGGTCCCCGCACGGCCGCACAACTTGTACATGTACGACACCAATCCTCGACATCGTCACGATAATGGACCCAGTAAAACTGTTCTCGGACCTTCAGTAGAGTTCGTTTAACTCCCAGATGGACTCTTGAACGACCATTATGGCACAGCTGTAGAACATTCGGCACTTTAGCTTTAGGGACAACCATTTGCAAACGACAGCTGTCCCTTCGACCACTATCCCATTTACGGCACAGGACTCCATCCTGAAGCAGCAAGCTGTCCCATTGGGCCCAATAGCTTTTCGTGGTTGAACTCATCGCTGAGACGTCCCTCCACTTAGGCTTGGTAGCACGGGCATTCATCCATCCCAGAATCGGCTTGATGTCCGGATCTTCCTGCTGTGCATGTCGTAGGCTGTCCTTCCACCCGTTGCTGAGATGGTCTGTCCTGAGCATCCTCACGGATACCACTTCCATACTCTCCTGCCTACTACAATGGTTGCAATCTTCAGGACAAGGTCTTCTTGTCAATGCATCTGCGTTGCCGTGAGATTTCCCGCTGCAGTGTCTGATAGTAAAGTCGTATTCCTGCTGCTGCTGGGCGGTGCTGTTAGCCGCACTTCCTTTCTGAGACCGTTCACCTTCCCTTCCTAGGGTGTGCTTAGGGCAGCTGGACCGAAGATGGCCCCTTTCCCCACAGCCATAGCACCTAGGGCTGTATCTTTTATTGTGGTCGCGAACCGTAACTGCTGTAACCTCCCTAGCGTGAGGTGAACGATGATCCTGTCGCCGCCAGGCAGTGCCGTTAGCTGCACTACCCTCTCGAGATCGATCAACTCTCCTTTCCACGGTTCGTTTAGGGCAGCTGGATCGAAGATGGCCCTTTTCCCCACAGCCATAGCACCTTGGGCTGTATCCTTTGTTGCGGTCGCGAACTGTAGCTGCTGCAACCTCCCTGACGCGATGGGAACGATGATCCTGCCGCACGGCTTCCACTTCCAGTGCATGGGCCAAGGCGTCCTTAAGCGTCTCGTGGTGCCCGAGCCTCACAGCAGCTCTGACTTCCAGGTCGCGGATGCCGTCGATGAATGTCTGCACCAGGTTCCCTTCAATGAGCGCAGGTACAGACTGGTATGCTTTTCGAACCATCTTCTCCACCTCAAGGACCCACTGCTGCAGGTTTTCGTTGCTGCGCTGCACGCGATCTTTAAGCTGCGCGCGAAAGACGTGTTCCAGATGAGCGTCGCCATATCCCACTTCTGACACCAATTGTTACGAGCTTGAGGTTCGTGACAATAAAAATTGCCGATAAAATTACCTAAATTAACACTTTAATTTACTTTACACAATTAAAGTTAAAACACTAATAATTTAAACACACTAATTCACTTAATTCCACTCCGAAGCTTCGCTTGTTTCGCCCAAATCAACACTGCCTCGATCGCATCTTGCAGCGCCTATATATTTAAATTAGCAAAGAAATATCCAGAATGTTCAAGTAAACACGGGCAAGGTACCGAGCGTTCGAGTTTCGACTAGGCGCTGTCAGTTGAGCGATTTGTGATGTCATTTTCTCAATGCTCCCCTCGCTCTCGTTCCTGACACTAGATGGCGCTAGTGTATCGTTGACTGGAGCGCGTAACACTATTGTACATTTCAGGTACAATAGAAAGGTTAAATACGTTTTATACGTGGTAGAGCCATGCTGCAGTTATATTAGTAGCATAGTTGTAGCACGAATGGGTCGGCTCGACCGGGGAAGGACTACGCTCTCACAGAATACCAGCGTGAAATAGTAGCTTAATGCTGCTGTATTTCGTATGGTAAGTGTAGAGAACCAGAGACCTTTTTTACTGGAAACGAGGCATTCCATCTTAGTCCTCACGGGTGACAACGCATCTGCATTTTGATTCGTAATCGAGGATAGACGTAGATGTCTATGGGCCACAGCAACCACTTACCATCAGGTGGACTGTGTGCTCGTTTGTCACCCTATCCTATTAAAAAAAAAGGTTGTATAATTCTAAGCTGTCTGTATATCCAACATTAGGCAGACTTTGAGTCAAAAAACGATTCATCATTTGATGCAGTCGTTTCGGTTCTAATTCTAAGCTTGTTCCTATGTGTAATGTTGTAGTTTTCATCCATTATATAGAAAAAAAATTATTAAGTAAAATTTTATTAGTAAGCGCCCTCTAGCGTCATAAGAGTAGATATGCTCGTTAAGTTAGAGGTTCAGTAAACACCAAATTCAATCAATATGTTTCATGCTTACTTCCTAGTCTTCTCAAGTTCAGACATGCGACACTAGATGTCGTTGGTAGTCGTATTGTGATTGTAATTATTTACTTCACTCAGCTGATCAGGATCCAAAGTCCACATAAATGATTTTGCATGTTATGGTAGTATCCGTTATGTTAATTTAAAAAGTGAGCACTATTTACTGCACTGGGTGGGTCGTGTTTACACTAATAAATTTATTAAAGTGTTTTTTGCACTGTTCTTAGGCTGTCGGTTTGTTTTACAATAGAAAACTTCGCTTGGATATGGAAAGTATTGGCGTTTCTATTTTTCAGTCCATTTGTACACTATACTTGAGGAATTATGTCACAAACACTGTCACTTGTTCATAATGTGAACTAGGTTCAGTTTCACACAATTTTAACGCTTATTATTATTGTTTACTATTTTTTATTCTTATTTATTACGGAGCGCTTGTGTATCTAACGGCGCCCTCTGTACAACGTTTTATTGAAAAAGGGCCAAATTAGGAGTACCCTTAACCGATGAGCACGTATGCGTAGGTGTATGGATGTGAAGGAGGCGAGAGAGGTGTGTCAGGATCGTGCCAAATGGAAGTTTGTAGTCTCTGCCTACCCCTCTGGGTGACAGGCGTGAGTGTTTATGTATTATGTATGTATTTTTCATTTATATAGCGGTTTTTCATGGTTGCTAATTGTAAATCTATAAAGCATGAAGGAAATTCAGGCTACAAAAATTTATTTACAAAGTTAGGCCTTACAAATTTTACCATTTTTGGCCTTTTATACAAATAACTAAATTGCACACAAATTTCAAATCTTTCATAGTTCCTCTACACAATGGGCCATTGCTATGTCCCACGTCCCACGTTCATTACAATTTTATAAAAAACACTAATACAACACAAGAAAAATCCAAAAATCAACACAACATTCACGTGAAACTGGCGTACGAAATAAATGTAGATTATAAATAAATATTCATAGGATAACAGTTTTTTTATTGCACTAGAGGATAGAGTATTTCATATCGATTATATAATGCTTATATATAGAGACTACTTTTCTTCATAGAAAAGTAGTCTCTATATATAAGTTTTTCTGGGTTAAAGTGCTGTGGGTGGGTGCGATCACACGAGACCGCTAGGGATTTGACGGAATATGCCCGTGGTCTCATGAGACCACTAGGGGGTTAAGAGGTAAATTATCGAATTAAAAATGACGAATATGTGGCCTCATAATGAAGTTATAAAATTTTGACCTACTAAAATCAGAACATCACATACATCATTTATTTCTATTTATTTATATCTATTTTTGTTTAAAGAAAACAAAATTGACTTAGGACATACTTAGTTTTATTACGATGGATAGATATCATCCACCATCTTCTTCTATGCCATTTCTTTCTGATAACTCTATTCTTATGCAAATTAAGAATATAATGGTATGTGTCGTATAGATGTATTGCCGCAGCGGCTAATTCTTTTACATCCATCTCGAAAAAGTTTCAATCACAATTGAATGTCGCCATAGTGTAGTTGTGTTTCAACCACCGCACGGCCATCTTGCTCTGCCAGTACTGGCGCATTGTGTAGAGGGGCTAGCAAACATTAGATTTTTTACTTATTCTTTATACTTTTTTATTCATTTCTATTTAATGGACTCAATGAAGTACCGGACTAAATGAGTGTATGACTTCAATAAGTGGAATGATGACATGCTTTATTATTTTTAATGACACATTTTCCACATGTAGGTATTTAATTATTTTGCACATCTTAGTTTATAGCACTGAATGCATTTAATATAATATTATTATTTAACTTAAACAAAAATAATAAAGCATATCATCATATCAATATAAACTATTATTTAAAAAGATTATTTAACCCTGAGAAAAAAAATCTTAATGTTCAATATCAAAAAAATATTAAACTTTTTTATCTAAGCTCATCGTCTACTCTAGAGCTGCAGAATTGTATAATCAATAAATAAAATAATTAGTAAATAAATACCCTTTAAATGTGTCTTCATTTCAGCGATTGTGAGTGGTTTAATAACATTTTCAGAAGTGCCGGAGAGTGCCATTGTGTTACGAGACTGTTTCTTGGCTGTGAGTGTTTGTATAGAATCCTTGGATAAAATACCTATAGTAAATGAAAAAATAGACGTTAATTATTAAGCAATGGTTTAATAATTTAATTCACATCTAAATCAAAACAATGCAGTCTAATAAGAGTTTGGCAAGCAGTTATTGCATTTAATACATACTATTTATGTCAGGGAGCAATTCAACCAATGTTTTTGGTTGAGCAAATGATTTCATTTTTGTTGCCGTCCCATCCATTATATATATATATATATTATCGGTCAATTCTGCAAGAAATATATTTTATCAATATTCCTCAATATATTACTTTCCACAAAACCACACAAAACGTTCAAATCAAACATTTCAAGTTAACTGTCAACAACGTCAAAAAACCATGGAGGTTAGAGAGAATAACATATACACAGTAATCTATGGTCAAAACAATTGGAAGCGTAGACAGTGAAACCTATAGACTAATGATTATCGTGGCCTCGAGTGAGAAAGAACGATGACGTAGTTTTAGGTTATACAATAATCTTTATGACTTTTAAACATATTAAGATAAAATTTTTAATTGTTCTAAGAATTGAACTGAAGATTCACCAATCTTAAGCTGACAAAACACTTTTTTCTCACTTAAACCAACTTGTAAACTCCTTAGATCGCTACGAACTGTCAAAGTTGTTTAGCAAAGTGTAGTTTGCTAAACAAAAAAACTGGCACGGAGAAAGGAACAAACAATCACACCGCTCTGTCTCACTTCTATGCAAGACGTAAGCATAAATCTATCTTTTTCGTGTGCGAATGCGAAAGAAGGCGTCAATTTCTCTATAGGTTTCTCTGTCTATGGTTGCAGGCCCCTATCCCCGGATGAAGATTTTCCCCAAACTTAAATCGGAAAAGCCTTAAAATAAGTATAATGGCTATGGAGGTTAGAGAAAAGGAAAACAATCTACGTACTAAAGCATAGCCCGCCTGTCCTTGAAAATTTCTAGAATTTATAGCGGCGCTGCAGTGAGTAGTGGCTGCGAAGTTAGCTGTTTATGAGCACAAGTAGATGAAGTTAGTTGAATAATGTACAAATTTTCTTCGCGGCATTGGTGAGAAAATTTTCATGCTCCGTAATTTTTTAATTTTTGACAAAAAGAAACATTAAAAAATAGAGAAATATTTCATTGTGCGCGGATGTGTACCAAGTGGTTTAGCATCTGATCGGAAAAATAGACTTAAAATGACTTTTAATGAGCGAACTTAGCGATAGCAGCGCTTCACTTCTGGTGTCCATATATCTGGGACACTATTTTCTACGGCAATCGTTCTCCTGTTCTCTAACCTCCATGACAATGACTATAATCATTGCCATACTCTAGGGATGTCGATTCTTTCCGAAAAATATCGATTTTTAAATCGATTTGAATCGAAACTTGATGAATCGTTTCACATAAAAATTGAGGTCTAAATTCAGATTCATACAAAGTACAGATTACAAACGTAACTTACTTTTTATTTCTTTAATCTATTAAAAAAAGGCAAAAGAAACTGAGCACAATAGCAATTTAGCTAGTTTTTATAAAGAAAAATTCTCGTTATATACGAGCTTGGGTACATTCAACTAATTGTAAATAATTTTATAGTTCTTATAAAACAGAAAAAGATTCGATCCTGATTCACTGGATCGATTCAGTTCTATATATCGAGCGTTGAGCTGATGAGCCATTCTCCGTACAGTCCTGACTTGAGCCCAAACAATTTCTTTACATTCCCTAGATTGAAAGATTTATTACGTGGTCAACGGTTCGAAGACACCGAAGCAACTGTGGAAGCACACTGGAATCACACTGGAATTACTGTTTTAATGATTGGTTTAAACGAATGGAAAAGTGCATTAAGTTGAACGGAGAATACTTCGAAAAACAATAAAATCAATTTAGCTATACCGTGCATGTGGTTTTTCTTATTCCTTTGCTTAACGTTTTGAGTCGAAGCGTAGGTTGCTGCTTTTACCACTAGCAGGTTGGTATGTGTCTCAGCGCTCTCAAATTAGCGCCGAGATATTTCCTTGAAATATTCAGAGATGGTAGGAAGTTGACAATCTTTGTGTAAATCAGAGTTACGCTGGTACCACCGAGTTCTGAAGGCGATGCATATGAATTTTTTTTGGACGATTTGTAAGTCGTTCAAACGTTTATGAGCCTCGTGTGGAGCTAATGTGAGGAGTTTGTTGTTTGTATTAGCTTGACGATGCACGTCATAAAATTTAAAACTGGGTTAACTTATTTTTACTTGACACGACAAATCGCAAAAGCAGAGTAATGTTAAATCGAATCCATTCCTAAAAGTGATCAATTCAATCCTATGAGTTGACTATTAGAATAATAAACCTCATATCCAAACCCCCCACTCACCGATGACTTCTGAAATCAATTCTAAAAAGACTACTTCTGAATATGATTACAATAACAATTATTACGCAAACACAGCGGATCTCACTAACTTAAGTAATGATGATGTCCGATTTAACAAACAGCTTTTACGATAAAATCACAAGGAAAGGAAAGAAGTTGATGAGGCCAGACAAAATTTAACGTACCAATTTTTTGTTCCAGGCAGTTGAAGTGACGTCTAACTTTTGTTTTTACAAGTCAGCTTAGTCGCTATTTTAAAGATGATTTTTGTCCAGCTCTTGTACCTAACCCACGCGCCAAACTAATATTTTATATGGGCAAGGCAGCCAGCACTGGAACCTTGTCAGCTCACCACCTGTACCATAGGAGATGACTCCAGCTCAAGACTGTTGGACAAGTCCTAAGTCTCTTGTGAAGCGCAAACTGTCGCCAGATCGTACAAGGGCGACACCGTAAACATTGCCCAGAGGGACAACAGGACGCTGTGGCTTCGTCCAGGTTACACCTACATCAGTTTCATAAAACTTAGTTCTTAAATATGGCTGCGAAATTGTGATTTTTTGAACTCGTATGTGTAAAGCTCCATGTACATTGCATTGGATCATTTTGATAGCAACTTGGGGCCTAAGTGAAAGTATCACTGCCAATGAAGAAAGCATTCAAGAATGGTGCCTATATTCAGTGCCATACACAAAACATAATTCTAATTTCTAAAAGCGATAGTAGCCTAATGGCAGGGCGCGGACCGCTAACTCAAAAGGTCGTGGGTTCGAATCCACCATTCGACTACCTCCATGACTACATGACACTCATAACACAAGCATTTTCAGCTTACCAGGAGTGGATAAAGGGAATATTAGTAATGTTAATTAATACGATTACTAATATTCTTTTTATATAAAAAAAAAATAAAAAAAAATCCATGAATGCACCACATGGTGTACTTATTTTAAACTTAATCTTAAGGAAATATTTAAAGGCGCTGACACTATAAGGGTGCACATAAATTAATGTATGAATTAATACTATATATGAACGAATAAATAATCCCTCACCACCCATAATACGATCAGCATAAATACATAAGCGCTGAGTGTGTAGTAATTTAAGTAGACTGTAAGCATATAAAATTGTAAAAGACAATGGTCAGAATAAATTCACATCTCTCTCTGTGAACACGTAGTTTTAATTAGTTTTAAAAAAGCTCTCGGCAGCTCACTTGCGTTCAGCTCGCAACTTGACTGGCGCAGCCGGTAGGATTACCGGAAAAGCTGAGCCACCGTTCGTGAATATCGCGTATACAATTTTACCCATTTATACGCATCGGCGGATGATCCGGAAAGCGTGGTGATCCAGCGAACCAAAACAAATTCGTCGAGAATAAGGAGCCGTGAAGCTGATGATGGGCACTGCGGGCTGGTGAGTACAACTCTTCACCTCCTTCATATCCCTTAGTAAACTTGGAATTAGACATTTTCCATTATAACCGTTATTTGGGTTTCAGATACTAATTTTACGTAAATTTTATAAAGTATTAAGTGCATTAAATTACTATTACTTTAATAAAAATTAATATAATATTAATTTAATTGTAATACGCACATAATATTAAGTCCCATATCACTCAATTAAGTTATAGAGTATATTATATTAAGTATTATACATTTTAATAAGTTCTTATTGTGTCTACATGTGTTTATTAATTTAAAGATTACTCGATACGTTAATACATAGTAAATTAGTACTTAGAACTGGTAGAGTTGTAATAAATATTTTATTTTATTATTTTATTTTTGTATAGAACCAGTGAATAAATTATTAAAAATGTCGGAAATTATACTTATCCCTAATGAATTAACTAAAATAATACCAATATTTAGCGGCAATTAACGCCATTTAAATTAATTTTTGCGTAAATGTGAATATATAATAAGTAACTTTAAATCATCCGATGTCCAAAATGAATATAATGCAAATCATTACTAGTCGTCTTACGGGCGAGGCTGCGTCGCTTATCAGTGAACGGGAAGATATAGAGAAGTGGGCCGAATTCAAGGAATTGTTTTTAACTCGCTTCGGCGAACCACGTAGCGAGGCATGTTTAGCTATAGAATTAGAAACTTTAAAGAAACACCAAAATGAAAGTTATACAGATTTCTGTGGTCGTATACAATCCGTTAAATCAGTGTTATTATCGAAGGTTAATCAAATTGATGATAAAAACTAAAAAATAAGTAAAACTATTATTTATAATAACACCGCTCTGCAGGTTTTCTTATATAATGTATCCGAAAATATGGTGCGCATTGTTAGGTTGAAAACACCCAGTACACTAGAAGAAGCACTCAGTATAGTTCTAGAAGAAGTAAACTTCTATGACCAATATCAGATGCGTAGTAAAATGTTACAGTCTAGCCATACGTCTAAGCCACAGTCTAGTAGTATACCAGTGCAACAATAATCGTTTAAGTTCGCAATGCCAACACAGCACACAACTTTTAGACTAATGTTAGCACCAAACCAACCCCCTAGGCAGAATTTCGGAACAACACCTTAATTAAAGTTTGGCATTCTCCATAGTAGACAAATGAGGATTCCGTTACCACAAAATAAGCCTCAACAACAAATGAGTTACCCTAAGCAATATCACCCACCTCAGTTTGGATACCGACCTAATTTTGGATATTGTCCAAACTTTGGATTTAGACCCCAGGAGTAATAACCCCATGCAACCAATGTTACCACAACAGTTCGGTAGTTCTCAGCGTTTTAATTATTCTAGTAATAATAATGTGCATAATAAGCCGGTTTCTAATGATACTGATGTTT